TTTTTTAAAGTTGTAGCGACCATGGTTTCGTTAGCACGTAATCGTTCTGGGGAAGGATCTTTTTGCTTATAGGCAATGCGCTATATGGTGTTCAAATATACAGAGGTCAGTCCCTAGAGCCCGCAGAGCCTGCATCTACACACACAAGAGGGGCAGAAGGGTAAAGTGACACACCACAGATTAAGGAGCAGATCAGTGATGGAAGTGGGAACACAAAGCAGCCTTCCCCGTTCCTGAAATGTGAAGAGCTCCACTGGCATCATTTGGATTGCTCACATCCATTCAGTGATGAAAATTTGGCCCTTTGTAGTCTTTTCTCGATGAGTTTAACTCTGTTGGCGTTAGTGGTGTTATAGTCTGATGAAAGAAAAGCCATTGATATTCTAAGTACCGCATCAATTAGATTTGCTCCAGGTAAGGTGACAGAAGATAAAATACCAATAGCCTTTCTTCAACAAAATTGTCACTGTTCTTAACACCAGTGGAATTCAATTTGTGGTATCATTATCAGGAACATTTGTCAAAACAAATCACTCAGACCAGTATGGCTTGTTTCCAGTGTCATGTTTTCTGCAATAAAACCCCCCCCACCCCCCATTAAAAGTATGGCTCAAGGCTATGCATTTCCATTATTAAAAAGCAAAAAATTATTTTTATTAAACCAGACATGACAAACTTCTTAACAACTTAAGCAGATATAAAGTAGTACGAAGCTTACTGCTCCCACCTCTTTTTATTAGTTATTATCAGTAATACAGCACTTGTTCAAACAACTGCTCCTCCATCCCTTCATCAAAGAAATCTATGCATTGTTCAGCTTCCTGAACTCATCCCCAAGGCTTCTACCCCTCTTTACCTTAAAATTCTGCTGCTGTGCTGCTTTTAATGTTTCTGAAGGATTCATATAGAAGAATGGTACTATTGCTTCTCTTGCAAGTTCTCTGCCTTTCGAGAACATACTCAGGGAAACACAAATTACTTTTTACTTCCAGAAAAATCTAGGAATACTGTAACCACTTAAGACTCCATAAAATCTAATTATCAGTAAGTAAGAATAAATTTTCAGGAGATATCATTTGTTATTTTATGCAGCAAACAAACAAAGATTCTTTTTCAAACAGCTAGTAAACTACTCTATTCTGGCAACATTATTAATTATGACTCACCTTTCCTAAAGGAAGTTTTGTAATGCTTTAGCAACTGAGATGGGTTACAGGGTAATTTAGCAGAGGACAAAAAGATTTGCAGAATCTTCAGAAGCACAGCTCACAAGATCTTTTTGTTCTAAATAAAACAAAGGTCTTTTACAAAAATCCTATACAAGTCAATTATGTAACTATGGCCTTTCAGGTTCACTAACCCTAAAAGGTAAAAATTCATTATGATACTAAGGATCACAGTCAAGAGAATGCTGTATCGTATAGCATGAACGAACACTTACTTCTGATCTATCCAAAACCACTAATTATTCAAAATACATTTTGCTGATCAGGTCATAAAGATTAAAAGAAAACACATGTCATTATATGGCAATTGTTAAACATGAAAAAAAGCTTGAGCAACATTGTAATTATGAAGAAGCATGAACGGTTTCAGGCTAACTCCTTCTGTAGAGAAGAAAGGTATTATTTAAAGTTCAGGTAAACCTCAATTAACATATAACCAAGTACATTCTTGAAGCATTGTGCACTGATACTGTCTCCCAGAAAGAAAATAAATAAGTATAGAAAATTATAGTCTTCCACCATCATGTAGCTGAAGTGCAGTTACATGCACCTTTCATGTTCACCTCTTATGTGAAAAATTGCCTTTGGAATACAGTGATCTAGTAACTAGTCATGTAATATACCTTCCACATCAATCTAGCAAGCCATAGCTGTTTTAAAGATGTATCTTTGTATTACACACCCTGTATTTCCATCAGACAAGCAGAGTGTTTGCTTCTTCAGATCCCAGTAAAAAGCAAGTTAATTTTTTTATGTTTTGTGGGTTTGTTTTTCAAAAAAATCAAGTTATTTATGAGGTGGCATAATTCAAAATCTATGCTAAATTGTCTGACAACTGATACTTTTGAATACTATTTGCTGGGTTCTATTGCACAAGCACAGCAAACATGGTAGTCCAGCAAGAGCTGTCTGTGCCTGGTTTTAATTATGGTTTTGATGACAGTGTTGGCATGGTTACTTGGCAGTTTGGGAAGGGTCTGGAGTTATGATTTTTCAATCACAACTGAATCTGTGCTTGCCATTCAGAATCTGATCCAACTTACAACTTTTAAGTGGATAACATTACGGTTTATAGAATGAATATAATTATCATTATACATCCCACGGCATTAGTAAAAAAATAAGATGGTTCCAAAGCATTACATATAAAGCATTAAAGGCACACAGACATAGTATTCAGAACAAGTGACGCATTATAATACATAAACTCTATACAGTGTCTTATGTCACTGTAGGTACCCTAGATGTACAAGGAAGTAATCTGCTATATACCTCACAAGTATGCCTTCATAGCTGCAGAAGCATTAAGGAATTTCTGTGCAGGGTTTTATCTTTACAGAACCAGTCCAAACCAAGTGCTGATGAACTTAATGAAAAGCTTAAGAGCTATTTCTTCCCCTTATGTGTAAATTCACTGTTGTTGGTATTAGCTTTTCTAAGATATTGCTTCAGGCTGTTTCACTATCAAAGTTATTTTTGTTTAAGGCTTCATCAAAACAAGATCCTACTAAAAAAACTGCAAGAATTTTCATATTAAAACCCAGTAATTGTTGTATTCCTCAGAGGGTGGGGAAAGTACTTACTTTTTATCTGTATTTGTTAGGGGATCTGTACTGGACATCTTCTTAGGTGCACTATTTTAATAAAAGTTCAAAATGAAGAATTCTGACACATGAAGCACTGGCTCGTAACCAGGATAATAACTGCTGTAAAAAAGGAGAAACCACTTTTTGAAATTTACATGGCGATGTTTATTTTCAGACACCAACAACAATTCTTATTTATTACTGACTAGCTGAAATCAAGTGGGAAAAGGGAACTTTCACGATAAAACAGATACACTTCATTGCTGAAAACAATAAGCAGTTAACAACTCGGACTTCGCTGTATATTGTACCAAAACACCTGACAGCCTAACTTCCTCTTAATTTATGAGGTAGGAATTTGGGTAAACCTGAAGCCCCCGTGATTAAAATCTTCTAAAAAATGCAAGTAACTGAGATTACAATTCCAGGATAAAGTAACTTAACTGCTAAAGACAAAAACAATCTCCTTTTTTTCCAGCAAAAGTTACTTGGGGAGGGAATGTTGTTTTGAGGATGATGAGGTGTTTTGTGTGTCTTGCTTTCTCACATTTTTTTCTAACTTAGGATGCAGTGTCTATGGAATTCTCACATGAAGTATGTAAGACACAGGCCATAACGCTCACAAACTGGGGTTATGTACCACTAACGCAGCAAAACCCCAGTAATTCACATTGTATTTTTATTAGCGCATACAACAGGTCAACAAGACATACAACCCTAAAAGTACTGAGCTACAATCATTTGCAAAATTACTGCAAAAGCACTAATGCAAAAGTATCTGTTTGTATCAGTAGCAAATCTTCGTGACCTCACGAGCTGTATGGCTAAACCCTCACATGGCCACAAACCAGAAAAGGTCTTAGCCCCAAGACACGGTACAAGGGGCACAAGGAACTCTCTGAACAATGCACAGGCAAAAGATGGCCACAGGTGCTAGCGGTACCAGTGACACCCTACCAACCTGGGCTAAAATAAAGTAGGCTCCCTAGCTCCACAGTGTCAGCCTCCACAAAAACCACACTGACTGATTCCTGCAGGTCCGCATTTCTGCATTAAAAAAAAATGTTAAATTCACTTTAGAATACCACAAGTTTTCCTGCAGTAAACGTTTTCAGACCTCTTGCTAAAGGATCAAAAAACCCGCCATCTAAATAGAGGAAACACCACAATATTGCTTCGCTCCAGGCTTTACCAACACAACTAAATGGCAAACGATTCGCTCTGGGCTTTATCAACAAAACTAAATGGGAAATGAAGAGCTGCCAAAGTCACTGCGTGATTCATGTTACTGGAACCAGCACGAGAGAAGAAGAGCAGTGATCTAAAGCAATAAAGTCAAGTACTGATACAGCAAAGTTTGTTACAGTGCACGGGACCAGTCCTGTGAAAAAAGGTTGTGTTTGTGAATTTGCTTGACCTTGCCCGTCCTGAAGTTACCGCTGTTTACAAACAGCGCTCAATTGCTTTTTGGCATGTCAATATTTGTGCCTAAACAAAAACAAATCCCTACACAGGACAGTACGAAGAAATGAAACTCATCAGGAACCGAAGCAC